CACTACACCCACAGTTAGTGCAACAACAAACACACTAGTTCGCCCTCGCCTCCGAGCACGGCGAGACCAACACAACGCGTACACAAGGTACACCCGCGTTCCGGGGCGGTTCTCACCGCCCCCAGCCACCGATTAGCTAATTGCACAGTCGACGGCCATCGGGGTTTCGGTCCGAACCACGACCACGATGGCCCTTAGATGACGTACCATAGTTAAACGCACGCATGAGCACATGCGTGGCCCTACCCACAGCGGAGGGCCCAAACCCGTGGGTTCTGGCTAGGCCACCGGTTCTGCGTCAGATGAAGCTTTAATAGTCTCGGGACTGAAAGCAAAAACATCAGTGCAACATGCTCTTGAATAGTTTTCAGAATATTTCGATAAATTATTAAAAAATGCCTCTTTCCTGAATCAATTTACGGGCCTTTATCGGTTCTATCCTGAAAATCTATGTATATTGAGAGCAAGGAATTTAGATGTCAATTGTACGTAGAATTTTCCTTTAATGAAGAATAGACTATATCTACAGATCTTCCTCTAACGTATAAATTGTATATAGTACATTATTGTAAAAACTCTTTAAATCACTTAAATAATAAAATTATTGAAATTTATGATTATTTACAATTTAAATGTTAATGATTTAGGAAATCGTCCATTGTGTTATTCTAAATAATTTCACACATTATTAATGTGAAGAGATTAATAAGTAGAAGGTCTTTGAATTGTAATTATGTATTCAAGCGTTTTTGTTTCGAAAATTGTACAATATCATCTTCCACACACAGCCACACTAACGAGGCGTAGATTACTGCAACCAAGAATAATATGTAATTAAAAACATTGCATATAAGTTAAATCCAAAAGTTGCCAGTCTACTCCGGCGAACATTTAGTAACATTTTTATGGCATTTTTTAAAATTCTCATCTATGAACGTCGCTTTAGTCTTCTGATTATGAACTTATCGGTAGTAATCACATTTGAATTTTATTGCCAGTCGTTATAATAAAACGATTCGAATGGACGCTTCCTAGAAGATGTTACGTAAAGAAAGTCCGATAAAACGTATTAATTTAGATAAATTTATAAAGTAAATTTTATCGCCACCACATTCGAAATATTTTAATATTTCATGGTTTTATGAAGATATATTTTGAAATGTCTAGTTTATTGTGTAAGTTTATATTTAATAAATGATATATATATGATTGTCGTGTTTTTTGTTTTAAATACGTTTAAATACTTTATAGCGATGAAAGTAAAGACTCTCTCCTTTAGAGATTGTTGATTGCAATAAAGTTGAATGACCGGCTCGGGTTAATGCTTCTCCTGTCGAATCCATCTTTCTTAGTCTGCAGTTGGTTGTATTATAGTAACAGAACTATAGGTTGTATAGTAACAGTACACTGTATATATGATTATATTTTTAGTGTTTTTAATTGCGCTAGATTGTCTTTATTTATGTATCAAAAGTTGTTAAGCGAGCAGGCGGTTCACCTGATGTTAAGAGAATACCGCCGAATACCGTATATATATTTCAATTCTAGACAAGAGCTTAACCTAAAAATCAACACTATCTGATGCATTTTACTATATGCAGAAATCCTTTGTCATCGTATAAAACGCAAAATCGGATACATTGGGTAGCTAGCAGAAGTTGACACAAGATATCTGGCATCAAGCCAGCCAGATTTCACTCGAATTTGGTGTGCTATACTCGAATTTGTATCCGAGATTTTATTTCCAACGTCCCATAAACTGATATTAAGACCAGAGTACTCATACCATCATATAGTATAAAAGAAAGTAAACATGAAACCTTTTTGAAGGTGAACGTCCGTGGACGAAGACAGTTCTTAGGTTTTCTAGAAACTTCTTGGAGCAATCCATAACTTAATTCGACCATAATAAAGATGGGAATTTAAATTGTTTCAAACAAATGCCAATTGAAGTTGTACTGTCTATATTTTCTTGTTCTATTTATATGTGCCAATATTAGAAGTGTCCAAAATATATGCCAGTAAAACGCTTTTGAACAGTTTTATCGGGTATTGCAAAACAAACACACTGCTTGCCCGTTATCAAAGCTCTTAAAACGCACACGTTTTTCGGTTGGATTGCTATCGAACATTTACTAGCATAATCATTAGCCGAGTTCTTTTTGGGTTGGTGAAAAACCAAACGTTTCGGCCAATAACCCAAATGGATCTAAATGATACAGATACCATTACATAAACGATGGATAAATGGGCAACTTATAAAACTGTGAAAAGAAACTATTTAAATTCCCAAGTTTATTGGCGTTAGTTATCATGCAGATGAATACAACATAGGCGATTGACTCGATGGCGCCGTTACAAAGCTATTGGCTTCGGCTTCGGGGGTCATGGGTTTGGATTCCCACACGGGACAGGTATCAATTTAAGGAAAGGATAGAAATAAATTTGAAACTACACTATTTTTAACCGACTTCAAAAGGTTATCAATTCGACTGTATTTTTTTTTGTATGTTCGTTACTTCAGAACTTTCTGCTGAGTGGACCGATTTTGATGGTTCTTTTTTTTTTAAAGCTGGTGCTTCCCATGTGGTCCCATATTAATTTCATTCGTTATTGGATCTTGGACTCTGGAGACACTTAGGCAACTCCTAAAAATCAATTATGAAATTAATACGGAGCGAGATATTGAAGACGGTTTTATTTTTCGTTAATAAACACAGACTTGTTACAGCTAATGAAATTGCAGTTTTCCTAACAATGCAGTTTCTTGGGAACCACACATAATTTTCCCAGTATCGATGTTTATGTTATGCTACCGCTGGTAGCTGATACCGGCCACTTAGTTTACATAACTAAAGGTCTGGAAGTATGCGATGTTTTTATAACTAATCTCACGTTATTTATAAATCTTATTCTTACGGGACAGACCACGAATGTTTCAAATATTCTAAACATTGAAAGTTTAAATAGAAAATAAATGCGATAAAACCGTTTAACAGTTCAATTTAATCACGTGTAGTATTTGCGTAGAAATAAAAAAAATGTTGTTAATAACATACTACTTTGCTAATTTTAAGTAAGAAAGTGTTTGGGTCTTCTTCATCCTCCTGATCTTATACCAACTAAGGTAGAGTCGGCACAACAAATCCATCATTTTGTTAACGATATTTTACGACCAGCCTTCAACACTCGCGAATAAGAAAACATTTATGTGAAAATGACATTTTAAAAGAATATTCTAATACATTTATTGAAATCATCGGTAACAAATCGGATTTATTTTTTGTAAAGATCATGTCATGAATTTTTAGTCATAGCTGCATTAATCGGGGAGACCTAAACATTTATCAAGGGTACCCGTGTTCTCAATCAACCAAAACCTTGAGGAATTATCAACTTTGCTAATAAAGCCGTCCACAGCGAGTGTGGCGTGTAAACATAATATTTTCTTAATATCAAAGCGGGAGCCTCGCTAACGGCAACACCGCACTCTTATCTGGCAAACACGGCGGCTGCTACCGATTTTTTACGGCTGATAAGCCTCGCATAAATAGAACAGCCTAGTTTTACGACGTCGTTATTACGAGCACACAAAACTCGACACCGATGTTACTGAAGGCATTTCCTGGACCCCCAATTGAAAAGTATAATTTGGTAGGACTGTCTCATAAATAACATTCGCCGACGACTTTGTTATTATTAGTAACTAATGTTTTATCTTAATTCTTATCTATTATTTCTAATTAAAAAGTCGATCATAACATTTGTTTTTTTTAGTGGTAAGGGTTAAAAATGAATTATTCTAAATGGAAAAAAGACAGGATCATCTATATATGGATCATCTAAAAACCTACTGGTTCTTCTCTGTATGGAGAGGAGTGCTTGTCGAGAGATTCTGAGCTGTACCATTGGGTTGTATTCTCCCATTATCGAAGTGAAAGCTAAAATTTTGCCCAAATTTCTGTTCTCTTAGGATTAAAAAGGAAGAGTGGTACACTTATAAACCAAAACTTAGTTATATTTCTTACAACTATAATTAAAGAAAGATAAAATCGGTGAGTTGGGGACCAATTTCGGAAGGACGAGGTAAATCTATCAATACTAAAAAAGTTATAGTGTAAAAAAGTTATAGAACGTATATGAAACAAGTTGTGAAAATCGACACGACATATGAGCGTGAAGGGACACATACAATAAAATTACCTCCCATTGTTTTAAAAACAATCCTTGAGGATCATCCGCCTGAATAATAACAGCTGTCACTTTGCCATGAAAAGTCGAAAACATTAAATTTGATTTAAATTAGCATTATTTCGGCGTTGGAATCGTTTTATAAAACAATAAAAGAGACATATGAATATCTGTACACTAAAGTTCTTAATACTACGTTTAAATAAAACACATGTGTAAACAGCTACCAATAGTTATCTTCGTTACAAACCATTTTTGTAAACTTATAAAAATTCTGTCGAATTCAAATATAACACCGCGGTTACTTAAATACAAATATATTAGATATGCATCTCGCAACGAATTAGTTTAGATGTGCATATAAATAATTATCCTTCAGCTCCCTTGTAAATTTTTCACTTTAATATACATATTTCCTGAACCCAATCGAAAAAAATTAGTTACAAAAAACTAAATTGCCGGAGATTAAATATAGAAGTTATATGTTTATAGAACAATTAATATAGAAGTAATAGTAGACTAAATTGTTTTATTTAGGATTTGTATAAAAATTGTGGTTGTTTTTATGTTATTAATTATAACAATAAAAATTACTTTGTGTGAAGCGCACAATGATTCTGGAGACCTTGCTAATCAGTCTGCGTCAGTTTCCTCTGAAGGCGCGTCCCAACAATAGGCCTAAAACTTATTACTATTCCGTAACAAGTGACTACGTACGTGCGTGTATCCGTTTAGCGAATTCCGCGCGTTCGTGCGCGTCGCGTCCCATCGCGTCGGGCGAATATCGAATTGGCGGGTAATTTGTAAACATGGCGCGACGGGTCGTATCACACGCGGAACACAACGTCCGGTGCACTCTCCGGCCGTACCCGTCATCCCCCACGAGCGAGATCTCGCCACACTCAGGTGTATGTTGCGAGACAGTAAGGTGGTGTCGTGTACGCAGGCCAAGCGCGCCCGAGCTAACTCACTGCACCGGCTTCAGCTCGCGAACGCGCTTCGAACTTTGTTACGGATCGTAAAGAGCCACTTTCGCGCGAATTAATCTCGGCCGTCGTGTACCGCGGCCAGTTCGCGTTCATAGACCGACCACGCTCACCGAACTAGAAAGTGTTTCGCGGTCGCCGTCGAAAATGAAAACGGATTACGCGGTGGATGAAATGCAGAAGAGTAAGTGCGAATCAACAGTATTTAACGACTGATAGAATTCAAATTAGATTTCCCTGTTAAATGGAGATGAATTAACTTTTAGATATTGTTATTGCGTTATTATTTTGCGTTATATTTTTTAAGATCGATAAAAATATAATGTTCATAAACATTTTAGTTGAAACAAGTAAAACTTTTCTGATGTTATTAGTACTCTAGTAATAAATCATTAGTTACGAGTTCTAGTTCACGGCAACATGTTTTGATGAAGGCAATTAAAAACTAATTATTGGTTATGTAACATATGAACTATATTTTTATTATTAAATAGGAGTCCATAACTGAGGTCAGTTAATTTTTCTAGCCAATTAAAATACTAGAAAGTATGTTTCAGCTCGTTTTTAATCACCATAGATTCTATATTTTATGTAATAACATATTTGAGCGAGATGAGGAAAATTCTAATATCAACGTTTTTATTTCCCAAATATTTTATGATGGTCTAATAGATAGTTCTTTTCAAATACAGATGTGATATTAAAAATTAGATTTTTATTTTCATTGTTAAACTAAAAAAATCCATATGTAAGGTTGATGATGGGTAGTGGGCGTAGAATGTAAACCACGAACCATACATATCCATATAGCATCATATTCAATTGTACGGAGGTTTGTTTACAAGCGTAATCAAAGTGGAACAAAAACTCCGCGGTCGGAGGAGCAATGCAAATATTAAACATTAAATACTCGACATATACTATCTTCAGGGAGTTTGTAATGTTTACTTTGATCGAGATTTTCTTGTTACAACTTTTATAACACCTTTTAAAGTACCCTACACCAGGTTAGCTAAGCAAGTCATCTTTTGATTTCTGACAATATTTTAATTAATCTGTCTTCTCCATAAGGTCGCCCATGGTGCACGAAAATTTCCATATTCGAAATACTGCGCACTAAAGGATCGTATTTTTTTTACAAACATCTGACAACCGTTCATAAAAAATCTAATGGTATGAAAATAAAACATTAAAGCCCGACTAACATACCTTTTCTGACGCATACGTGGGTTTTTGCATTTGTGTTAGCATTCAGTGATTTAGATTACTATGCAGGTAGCGTAGGTACTTAATATAAATCACGATTGTGCCAATTTAGCGTTTTATAGCAGTTTCTTGATAATTAAATGCTGCGTTATTATTTATTTCCCTGAATATAATACGGCATGTAAAGGATTTAGTGAATAGGTCATAGGCATATACTATAGCAGAAAAATCAAGGACCTCTTTCATTTATATAAATGTAACAGGGCTGTACTAACGATGATGATAGTTCATTTTGGTAAATGTAAATAACTTTAACTCCGGCGTAATTCAATTAAAATAAATTTTAAACGTTAGAGATAAATCTCTAATGAATTAATCAACAAGCAGAATTCGGCGGTCGCTTATAGTTTTCGAGAAAAAAAAAAATTTAAAACTTGCTTTTTGTACTAAGAAATCCACCATTTTATTTGTTTGACTTCAAAAACTCAATACACAGTTCTGCCAACATGATAAATATAGGAAGCGGGCGACATCATACACGTATCGATATTCCGATTTTATTAATTTAATGAATCACAGAACCGACACAGAGCGAATCCGACTCGGATAGATTAGGTTAGAAGCTCCGCTCCCGCCTGAACCTTCGATGTTTGGTTTTTTTTTTATGACCACCAAGAAATACGAGCTGAATTGACATATTGACAACAAAAAAATGGCGGATTTCTATAGTAAAAATCACACTATTTCATTATTTATTTTTTCGAAAACTAGAAGCGACCGCCGAATTCTGCTTGTTGATAAATTCATAAGTGATTTTTCTCTATCGTTTAAAATTTATTTGATTTGAATTACGCCGGAGTTAAAGTTATTTACATTTACCTTCATTTTTATTGTCGTACTTTGTACTGGTATATACAAATGTACTTTAGGAAATATAATCGGAAAAATATATAAAGGAACGGTAATAAAGTTGAAATTAAGTAATACTTTAAAAACTAGGTCTACAGCTAGTTTTTTCGTGCGCCCCAAGTTGTCAATCAGTGTAGGAGATGAAGAGAGCAAGGCGCTGAGAGAAAGGAACATATCACGTTTTCCGTATGTGGCGATTTTTGCCGACTCACATCTCACGGAACTTCATTCTAAAATCGGACTGTGTCTTTCTGTCATTTGGCACTTTGATATTTTTTATGACAAACGATTACAAAAGATAAGCAGACGCTGGAAGGAAACAAGTTAAAGTTATACAAATATTATATACGTTAGGTATGCAAATGTTATGAAAAGGAATTGTAGACGTGGCTGAGATGACGGAGTCTCACAGTTGGTTATGGTGTCGCGGGCTGTATGTTCGAATCCCACACCAAACAGACCGGAACCGGGTATTTGTGTTATATATAATTCGCGTTCTTATGGTTTTAAAAATATATTGCACTATTGTAGAATAACATTATCATATGTTGTTAGGACTTTTTACATACATAAATTTTACCAGGACAAACACCCAGATCCGAGAAAATTATCTGAGGATCATACAAATAGTTGTCAGGTATGAGAACCGAATCCAACACCCCAAGTGAAGTCACCTGGCAACTGCACCACGGATTCGTCATTAACACAAAGATCTCGGACATTTTGTCTTAAGCAAATGTTTTAAAATCTAAGCATATGTACATATATTAGAAATGCATGTAGACGAAACAGTTACCTCACACTTGACCGGTGACACTAAAATATACGATAAAGTTAAAGATAATTTAGAGATAGTTTATCTCTATGATCACGAAGCCGAAACTTAAGACGCGTATGAACTGTATACAAAAGTAGTTAAGAAGTTACCATAGAAATATGAATTTGAAGACACGTAATCTAAAAGCTAAGAAGCTAATACGTAGATCGAATTTAAAAAGCTAATACTTATAGTAGATCGAATTTTGGATCCATGAAAACTTATATATCAAATCCATAACAACCGTTTATTATTAGATTATACTTGCATGTTTATCTCCGTTTATTTTCAAGGTGGTAATTTAATGTTGTGTGTTGTTCCCAGGGACGACCTCCATAATCGGTCTCTCGGATGTGACCGATAATAAGCTGATATGGAGGCAGGTGGTCGCCGAGCTGGTGGGCACCTTCCTGCTGACTTCCATCGGTGTGGCATCTTGCATCGCCATTACGGAGTCCAACGCGCCACACGTGACCAGCATTGCGCTCTGCTTCGGCCTGCTCGTGGGCTCAATTGTCCAGGTAAAGCATTTTTTTATATTCACTCTCACTCTAGGTGCAGTTGTCCCACACGCCATGTCTGCATTTGACGGCCCGATTGGCGTGGGGAGTAGTGAACCTGCCTCCTGCCCCATTACTTTCAAAATACCGTATAATGAACAAAGTTATATATTTATAATATGTATTCATTTTCAAAAAAAATAAATAAGTTTATTAGTTTTCTAGTGCCCATAGTACAAGTTACTTAGTTTGGAACTTTTTGCGGACACATTTTTGTTGTAAAAATGCAAATATTTATTTATTGAACAAAACTGTATAACAGACGAATATATAAGCACGACTTTCAAACCTAACGGCGAATGCTAATCTCATTAATGTTTTACTGTTCATTTTAGTATCAAATTTGAAGCGCTGAATTGTTTATGCAAATTTTGCATAAACAATTCAGATAGAGTTCGGGAACTATCGTTTTTGTGCCTAAAGACAAATCCCTACAAAATTGAACTATAGCATTTTTATATACTTTGTATATGACGATATAAACAATAGCAAATAAAAAAATAACTTGTCTATGTATAATCTGAATTTTCTATGATAATATGCATTATAAGAAAAGTAAATGTCATTAATCATTCAAGATCAAAAGTTTCCGTCGTGAATTTATTACAAAGATACTATGATTATGATATCATCGTTATTATATTACATTTATGTAGTCTTAAATAATAGTTTTATATAATGGTGACTAAAATATTAAAGTAGTAAATGACAACATAAAGATGATATCACATGTTTTACTTTTGCAACGAAGATCAAAATTCAGGGGTTTTGAACAATGATCCTTTTAATTTTTGTTTCTTTAGTAATATTTAAACATTACTAAAGAATCAAAAATTAATATTTCATATAATAAAAAAAAGAATCATAATTATATTTAACACTCAGAATTAATTTCGTCCTTTATTATAACCCACCCATATGACTTTAAAATAATTTTTTAAATTAAAATTAGTGAATAAGGATTTATGTAGAGTCAACTACAATGCTTGGAAACCAAAAAAGTAAACAATTTTCCGAATGTGGTGAAGTGGCGTTATAAAGTGGTGATAGGCCATCTCATTAGCACCACATTGACACATTAAAATCAATAGTCAATCTAAAAACTAATTAACCAGACAGTTAAACAAAATATAAAAATTATATAACTTGTCCACTTCATACAGTCCTATCTCTGCCAACAAATTGTTATACGGTATTTGAAGTTAATAATACTGTGGGTGTTATAAAGACGCCCAACTTAACAATTACCAAATAACGTGTGCTCAGCTCAATAATGTTGGAGCCAACGTTGGCCACAATAGTGCTCTGGATGAGATTAGAAGTTGGACGGTCTGCGTTAGTTTCTTTAGCTCTTGTCTCTTACCGATCTTGGTATAACAATTTGACCAGCATATGACGGTTGGGCCAAAGACCGGCCTTTCCCACGCGGTTGCGAACCTTACCACTCATGTGTAAAGACTATTTACATACGCTCTACGCTGAGCCCGTATTTGCATACGCAAAGCACTGCATTAAGTGGTCAATATGCAAAACGGAACTCGACCAAACCTTGACCTACGAATACTGATCAATCCTTTCTTATTTACACGTGTAATTTGTTATAGTACGCCGGCGTTTATTGTTAATTTGTAAATTTTTATATACATATCGCCATAATATACTCGTTAAATAATCACCACCAATTTTCGAAAAACAGACGGACAAGAGAGTGATCTTATAAGGGTCAAATCAAGGAGTTTAGTTCTTTCACAACCGAAAATTTTCATAAATCAACGAGTGCTTAACGAATGGTCCACGTAATCATAAAGCTGCCCTAAATTCAAAACTATTTTATTGTATATATAATAACTAATGTTTGGGTAAAATACATTCACAAGTAACCATCGTATAAAGTAGTCGAGACCCGAGAGGTCGCGGATACGGTTACGCTATGTCAAGCCCGGTTGGTTACATTGAGAAAATTGTTCGACTTCGAACACGTTATGATATATCGACAACGTAATTATAAAACACGGGCTTTTAATGAATTCGTATATTACATGTCTAAATATAGGGTTACCATTGCATTTTTAAACTATAAATACGTTTAATTTGCATTGTATATTGCTTAAATCGTTTTCAATAGCGTTTTACAAGTGATGTTAAGAAATATGTGAAACTAGCTGCTGCCCGCGACTACGTCTGCTAAGAATAGGCTGAAGGCGTAACAGTCAAACAGAAAGACAGATAAAATATGTATATAAATTTTAGCCTGTCTTATTGTGATGTATAAGCTATATTATTGTAAAGTTTCATTAAAATCCATTCAGTAGTATTTGCGTGAAAGAGTAACAAACATCCATCCATACATACAAACTTTCGCCTTTATAATATCAGTAAGGAAGTAAGGATTAGATTAGATGTCGAAATCGAAACGTTAACAAAAGTCGTCGTACTTAATTGATTATTTTTACCAGATAATTAGGCAGAAAGAAAGAGGTAGGTAGGTATAGTAAATAAGTAAATTAACATCCTATATCTGTTCTATTGCTGGGGAAAAGGCCTCCTCTACACGGAGAGTATTAGGGCTTACTCCAACATGCGACCCCGCTGCGGAATATTGGCGGACTTCATATAATTTGAAAATTATTTATTTTTTAATATGCTGAAACATAAATATATTATTGATAAATTTTATTGATTTTTGATAGATTTTCAGAAATTAAACACATAGAATTATATTTTTTAATTAAACGAAAAATATTCTGTTACATTCTATTTCGAGGAATTCACAAGGTTAAACAATATTATTTATAGAAAGATAGTCGTTTTAAATAATGATTGACTGGCCTTTAAGACAAAAATATTTCACATACATCGAATTTAAACAGCTTGGTTCTCCAATTTCGCATTGTTTTATTTAAATATATTTTGGTTCCATTAAATTGCATCTTCAAAAATAAACCGTCACAATTTACTTATAAGCGAATTAAATTTTAAACCAAGCTGAGTGCGTTATGCAAGTCTGAATCATATAGATTATTGATCTCTAACGCATGAATGGCCATGTCAATTTAGAATTTGTTTCACGTGTTTAAATGTTATTAGCCTGCTGTTACAAGTCCCCATTAATCATCTTGTTTGTCCATCAATGTACCTGACATCTCGTTGCAACGAGTTAATGCATAAATATCCAGAGCCCTGATTAATTTAAATATAAATCGTCGATGGAATGTATATATACATTATTATATTCACGTGATTCTAAAAGATCTTGAATGTGTGTGAATATTTTTATCGAATTGCGGCCAGTATTAATAAATTGTTACAACTTTATCTCGGGTTTTAAAACCACGAGATTTTCTAAATTAGCAATGTAATGATGGAATAGTTTAGTACTTGTTCCAAAACGATACGAATTGAGATAATGAAATAATTTAAAAAGTCTATATTGAGCAAGAATTAACGAGATAAAATTAAACATTCATACAATATCTAATTGATAAATTGACAAATTAAGACCTGCTGTCAAGCGTTTATTTAGCGGCCATTTTGAGAACAGATAACATACAACTGCTAATATTAATTGTAATACGGTCTAGTGGACACAGATGTGCCGATAACATGGGCCGATTTGCTTTAATATTGAGTCATATTTTATTTATTCATAAGAAAGAATAATGGTCGTAGAATTTCACCACGGCGACATATCGTTATTCATTAAAAAATAAATTATATTATGTTTTACAATTTGCACAAAATGCTAGACACGACGATTTGGTCAAGAAAAAAAGGAAACGTTCGGTCGATTACACCCATAACAATCGATCTAAATGTAACGATATTGCGTGACAACATTCCGCTTGGAATTGGCCGGGAATCAAGTTTACCAGAAGCGATTTAGCTATCTAGTCTATTTATTTTTGAGTCTAATTATTTTTCCTTTTCGTGTAAATTTATTCAAAATTGCGTTGTACGAGTTCCTTTCTATTTCTTATGCGCAGAAATCGTGGTTTCTAACAGATTTTGCCAATTCTCTTGTGAGAACCCGAGTTCATAAAAAAACCTTTTAGTTCAGGGCACACGATAAGGTGTTGAATCGTAGTTGAGAATAAATGCGCACTAAGAAACGTCCATACCTTTACCTATCACCTTGCATCAATCATCATCATCCTTGTCTCAATAAGTATTTACAAATAACATTAATTCAAAATATCTTTATTCAAATAGACGCTTGCACATTCTTATGAAACGTCGAATTTTACATAAAAAATTATAAGCGATTTATGATAAAATTTGTACATAAGTAAGTGACATTTTTATATTTAATTAAGAAGCATTAACGTAAATTAAGTACAAAAATTCGTTCTTCTAAATTTCCTGAAACACAGGTACTATTTTGTAGTGTGGAATAGATTTAAAAAAAAAAGGAATGAATAGCATAAAAACCAATTAAATGGAATTAAAAGCTAATTATTGTTTCTGTTTTAAGACGATACAGCTCATGTGACACTTGATCAATTTAAACGTAAAATGAAAAGTAAACTTATTGTTAAAGCGTATTATACCATTGCAGAATATATCGACGACGCTGAAGTGTGGAGTTAATACTGTTGATACACAAGTAGACTAAAATAAGATTATTATACCTGTACTGTATATTATATTGTAAATTGAAATTTTTGAAAAAGAGCAACTGTGGAGTTTCTTCTCGGTCTCTTCTCAACAGAAACTGCTTTCCGAACCGGTTGTAAACTACGAACTTATTTATTAATTTTTATGTAAAATTCGACGTTTCATAAGAACGTGCAAGTGTCTATTTGAATAAAGGTATTTTAAATTTGAATTTGATCAAATAAACACGAGAGATATAGGCTCAATACTAAAATTATAAGACTGCCCACGACGTTAACAGAACAAATTATCAGTGATGTTACCTATTGTCTCAGCGAAACAATCTCGAACGCGTCATCAAACGACCC